ATTCGAAAAGTTCAAGGTGTTCTTGATCCAAATAAAAATCAATTCTGAATGAAGTTACATGGGAAGACTTACATTATTCCAACTTTTAGCAAGACCCCAGAAGCATTGGATCCATCAAAGAGAAGCAAGATTCATCGCCTCAAGTATCTACTATCGCATCTAGCTTGACTAGTAAAGAAGACTTAAAAAAAAATGTGTAAATTGTGAAAGTATGACTATCCATATAAAAGAACTTGAAAAAGCACTATTTACTAGTATTCAAACCAATTCAGAATTTATTGGATATTACAATGATTTGCGTAATCAGTATGAAACAGAAATCAATTCTATACTTTTGGAGTAGATTGTTTAAAAATATCAGCACGTGCAACTGCTCTACTTTTTTTAGCATCTTTTTGTGTTCTTTTAAAGAGTTCCAAAGGATCTTCAGTTTCTTGCAAGATTTTAGGTGATATAGTTTTTTTTGTTTCTAATGACATTCCACTTAACTTTCCGATTAAATTTTTGTTAATAGAAGGTTAATCCAAAATACGAACATGCTTAGATTTTATTTTTTTAATTTGTGTCTTAATAATTGAAGGTTTCTTGATTTAAAAATTATTTAAAATAGAAGAGTCATCAGAATCAGAAGGTGGTGAAAAATTAAGATCTTGTTGTAAACGTTCATTGTGCTCCCATATTTCATAAACACGACGAGCACCAATATGAAATTTTTTTGTCATTTTTTTCGATGCGTTTGGTACTTTCTCCCTTGATTCTCTAATTTCTATAATATCAGATTTGAATAAATGAGTCACATTGGATCAATAAAATTTTTGATGAATATGAGTAAGCATCTTAAGATAAATATACTGTATATATATTAGAAAAAAGTTTCAATAATTTTTCAAAATGCATTGATACATATTGATGCTTTTATGAGTATTGATATTTTATTGATATCTATTGATACCTATTGATACCTATTGATATTGTATTGATGTCTATTAATACCTCATCAGGAAATTTAATTAGGCGTCGATTTACGGAATATCACATGACCTCCGGAAATTTCCGCCTGAAAAATTTGATTTTTTAACTTTGGCCGAGATTTAGGCGACAGGGAGCGATTTTCTACTAAGATGTTTCTAAGATA